AAATTCAGCGTTTCGGTATAGATATCTCACGTTCCATGATTGTGATTCAATTCTTTTACATTATTGTTTAAAGTTCCAAAGTAGTTAATTAAAACTTTGATGTAATGGCTTAGTGCTTATTAATATAATACCAATATAGATAATTAAGAACACGGCATCAAGGTACTGAGATCGGCTACCGGAAGAAGAGCACCGGTTAAAAAAAGTACCACAAAAAGCACCTAGTTAGTATTTATATGAATTTAACAACAGATTCAATTCGGTTAGTTGAGCTGAAATGTAATGTAATTAAATGTTTATTCGAATGAAATTAGGTATTTTTTCAAAAAATTAATGTATAAGGATTAATTTAGAGTTCACAGAAAGAAGCTATCTCCACTTTAGGCTATTTAAAAAAAAGGATAATGACTCTTAAGCAATTATAAATTTATTCTAACGCACTTATTGCAGTATAATAATCTATATATATATTTCTCTTACACGGCACCAAAAAAAAGCCTCATTACAACTCCCCGAATGGCAACGTTAGAAAAGCGACCAATGATTGCTACTAAAAATGTCACATGGCAAATGTCANCTAACGCACTTATTGTGGTATAATAATATAAAAATAATATTTTCTCAACTAGTCATTCTTTAAAACTAATTATTAAGGTTTAAATTATTTTCAACTTATCAAAAGATTAGTCTAAGACGTTAATTGATACATTATTTATAACAATGTTATTTTATATAATTTTATTTACAATGAAAAATGTATGAAATGTTAAAATTCCTTTCACTCAATTTTAAATTAAACTCTGCATATTAATTATTTTTAACGCATCTAATTATGTTCAAATAATAATTTAATTACGTTACATTTGGGCTTAACGGTTCGAATAAAATCGAGTGTTTTATTTAGATAATAGTTAATGATGTGCTTTATTTCGGTGCTTTTTTTTTTCCCAGTTATTCATTGCGATGCTATATTTAACCCTATCGCTTCGATTCCCATAGCTAAACTTGTTGGAATTGGCAAGTAGCAACAATATACTTAACGCTTTGATGCAGAATTTTAATTAAACATATTTTTCATGCTTTTTTTATTAATTTGTATTGATTTATTTCAGAATAAGGGGAAAATATTATATTTAGCATTTTAAAAATTTAGGGTCATGAAAAGCAATATGAAACACCAGTGGCTTTTTCTGCGTTAAAGGTAATATTTTCCAAAAAATAATTTTTCAAATTTGCACTTATTTGCAGTTACTGAGATGTAAAGGAAACAGTTATTCATCATTGAAATTTCTTTACTTTACGAAATCAATTATCGATAATTTTTTGAATATGAATGAAAAAAAAAAAAAAAAAATTTTTTTTTCTTCGAACTACTTTTTTGAATTTTATATTTTATCACAAATTCAATTCTGATAAACTAACAGTTTTTTTAGTATTTATTTGATTGTTTATTAAAATTTAAAAATACCATTGTATTTTTTTTATTGTAATTGGAACGTCACAAACAAATATATTCAAGGAACACCGGTGTCCCATCTGCGTCATTAGGGTTAACAACAATCGTTTATATTATAGTAACAAGAAACAATTCCTTGTAGAGCACTGTCCGTAAACATGTTTACTTGAAACTACACAAACAGCAGCGATGGCTCAGGGGATAGAGAGTTCGCCTTCCAATGAGGGGAACCGGGTTCGAATCCCAATCGATACGAATTCTGCATCCGGCTTGCACCGATCACGGTGCTGACGTGAAATATCCTCAGTGATAGATGGATCATGGGCTAGAGTTTCCTTGCCATCAGGATAACCGTGGGAGGTTCTTGTGGTCTTTATCCTCATGTAACGCAAATGCGGGTTAGTTCCATCAAAAATTCCTCCACGAAGGCAAATTTCTCTCACTACTTGATCCAGGAGCTCCCTTGTCTTCTGGATTGGGTTCAAAATTACAAGGCTACGGAGTTGAACATTAGTAGTCGTGTACCCAAAACTTGGGTTGGCTGTTCAACGACGGTTATAAAATAAAACATTTTAAACTACGCAAAATAAATTTATTGAAAATTAAAGCAATAAAACCCCTATATGATTCCAGCTTAAATTCAATTTTCCTAAAATATAAAAATTGTGACTCCCAATTTTCATGACTAGATTCGCACGTTCCAAAGTCACCAAAAGGTCAGCCTCAGAATCTTCTTCATGTTTTCGTTCTATCTCACTTTACAACATTAAGCTTTCATCAATATCGATATCGCTGTAGTTGGAGGTCAAGAAAATAGATCCGGTATTAAAAGAGTGATCAATAAACACTGAAACAAAGTGTTATTGCTCTTTTAAAGATAAGAAATGTATCATCTTTACGAATGATATCCAATCTTTATTTAAACAGAAACACGATCGTAATGTAATCACCGTCGAATGCGGTTAATTTAGATTTAGTTCGTAATCTTCAATTGGGATGTTTCATTTCATATGAATGAAAGGATTTTATCATTTGTTTTGTTTATTTTAATAATATAAAAATGATATGTTTGCAAATATTTTGAAATATAATTAAATATTATTAAATATTATTAAGAATGCTTCGCTGTGTAAAGAATATATTTTTGATTATCTTAAAGAATAACGCTATAACTTTTTTAAAAAATGTTTTGCGATGACAGTTAGAATGCTTTATCTAGCTATTGTTTTATAGATTGTGAAACAAATTCTGAATCACGCTTGAAAAATTTTTTGGAAATAAATTGATATACACTGGTGGACAAAATTAAGAGATGGTAGACATTTTTCCAAATATCTCAAAAAATACTGAATATAAATAAATGAAATTTGATATGGATACAGCTTATTCCATGATAATAAAGTATGCAAAACAAAAATGAAAGTGCCATTCACTGGCAAGACCTATTGCCAATAAATCCAATGTAGTCTGAACTTAAGGATAAAAGATGACAATAAAAGTGAGGCTTGTACAGTGTGTGTTGCCTCTAGTATGGTGTATGGTCACACCTGACAGACAGACAGCATGCACAACGAGTATGCATGCTGTTAATAAGGGAGTTAAGGAGGACTTGTGGAAGACCCTCCCATTCTTCCACCAGAGCAATTTTTAACTCCAGAATGGTTCTGGGGGGAGGCTGGCGCATCGCAATAGCTCTCCCAAGAGCATCCCAAGCATGTTCAATAAAATTCAGGTCAGGGGATTTGGCTGGCCAATCCATTCGTTGAATATCCTCGCTTTTCAGATACTCATCAACCATGAGAGCCTTATGCGGTCGCGCATTGTCGTCCATAAAAATGAGTTCAGGGCCAACAGCGCCCCTGAAAAGACGCACATAGGGCTCTAGGACCTCCTGCCTGTACCTCTGGGCATTCACGGAACCATTGTCAAACACAAGGAGCAGTGTGCGGGTATCTTGCATGTGCGAATGAATGTGCGAAAATGCTTTCCTTCTCTTAATTTTGTCCACCAGTGTATTTTAAATAATATTTTTATCAAAATTAGTCATTCTGAAGCCAGTCACACTACGTTATCGTTCAACTTTAATTTCGTCATTGAAATGTATTATTTTTAGTCAAAAGAGAGAGAATACCTAATATTTTTTATACATTCTTTTTTGTAATAAATTGTCCATAAATAACTATAGTCCAAGATCATAATATTTCGAGCTTACTTTTTTAATATGTTTTAGTGCTATATTGTCACTATACCGTATTAGGATATCTTTTCTAGTTTAGCAGATTTTTTAACGTTTCATTTATTTATTTAGGTAACATTACAGTTTTTTATGAGCTTTAAAAATTTGTTCAATTCCTACATGTCATGTGTACAATTCCCCCTCCCTCCAAAATTAGAATCAGTTTGAATAACTTTTGATCTAATTATAGGTTTTTTACGTACTAGGACTCAATCTTAATAGTTCGAGAGCCTGACCTCAAATATGGTAATAAGATAGAGCAGACGACATTTTAAGTTACGAAATCAGGCACAAAAACATACTTTATCGGAATAAACATTCCTTTTTCGATGAATTTTGATTTTTGATTCCCAAAATATAAGGAGTAGCCATGATCTGTGAAATATGGTGTCAATACTTTAGTTGGAAGATCGGTCGAAAGTTCGGAGCCCTTAATGTTGAATTTGCTTTTCGCGTATTTCGCCGTATCTTGAAATATTTTTGCACATAATTATATAATCTCGTCTATCCAAAGAAAATTCTACTTTAAAAATAATTTTTAATAGTTATTTATAACTTTTTATTATTTCATTTAACAATAGTTGGAAAAAAAAATTGTATCGTAAGGTATGCAAATTTTTACATCATTTTGAAGAATGCTATTTTATGTGGCAAAATACAAAATCGATCGATTAGTTCCTGAGAAATCGAGATTTAAATATATGAATTTTTTAAAATTCGATTCCTCAGAAATCGATCAATTTCGTTCAAATTTTGAATTTCGCCACCTAAAAATACATTCTTCAATATGATGTAAAAATTTGTATACCTTACAGTTCAAATTTTTTTTTTAATATTATTAAAAAAAATAATTAAAAATAAGAAAGAATTATTATGAATTATTATTTGTTTGGAATTATCTTAACGTGAATGAAATATATAATTGCGTGAATTTTTTTTAAAAAAATGCTTAAAATTTCCCGAGATATGGTGGAACGCGCAAAAAGTAAAATTAACATTAAGGGGCCAAACTTTCAACCGATCTCTTGACCTAAACTATTGCGACCACATTTCTCAGACTGGATAATTATACTTTTTCGACAGTTCTGACTTCATAAACGGATGTCAGAACGGCCGAACGACTTTTCTTTTGGGAACTCGACATAAAATTGCAGAACTTAAGCAGAGTGTTGGCTTCTGTCCTTGTGCTGATCGTCTGAGTCTTCTCTTAGAGTGCAAGGGAGCATTCAACTGTTTGGGGGGTTGGTCGAGTTTGGCTTTTGCGTATATTAATACCATTTTTTAATTGCACCCTTTTCTATTCAACAGCTGTTGAATCATCGATATGCCAGCCTCAGCGTCATTCCACAGAATTCGAAACAGTCTGAAGGATCCACACTTCCTGAAAACGAAAAACTATTCCAAGAATATGGAATTCCTGAGCAGCGATTCCTCCTGAGGTTGGTCCAGAACGAAGAATTCTTCGGGAAAGAACGATATGCTGGTGGTGTGTGGCAGCAACGCAAGTGAATCCTGCATCACGGAAGAGATCAGCAGGGGTGGATCGATGGGAGCAGAGGGCAAATCGTCTGTATCTTCATCACCTGTAAGGTGTGCTGGATGCGGGGGTGTCATCGTTGACAGGTACTACCTGTTGGCTGTTGACAGACAGTGGCATATGTCTTGCCTGACCTGCTGTCAGTGCAAAGTGCAACTGGATTCTGAATTGACCTGCTTTTCCAGAGATGGCCATATTTATTGCAAGGAAGATTATTACAGGTAAATATTTTCCCTAAGAACTTCTACTATTTGAATGAAATTTAGTTATTTTTCTTTGTACCACATTGCAGTTACTTTATTTTATTTTACAATTTGAGACATTATAGTACGAGAATTGTTTATAAAATAAAGAGGTATATAAATACAAGCAAAAAAGTAATGTTTTATTGCATAATTAGGCTTCTAGTTTGACCCATCGAAATTCATCTCGCTGCTTTGAATTTGATTCCAGTAAGATGCTATTTCTGTGTTAAAATCGACAATAATATGCACGTTGGTAATTTGTAAGGAATAGACAGAAAAGTGGCAGTAGTTAACAGGACAGTTTAATGATAAAAAAGTATGGTGAGGGAATTTAGAGAAGACCCAGACAACAAACCCATTTCGCATCTGCTATCTAAGAAAGCAAAATGCTTGATGAATATTTAAACAATGAACAATGAATATTTTTAAAATGTCTCTCATAAGCATTGAGATATTAAGTGGTTATATTCCCTTCTGAGAATTTCCCCCTATCGACATTGCAGCGTTTATTAGGAAATGCAATGTCATTCGCTTCTAAATGTATATCTGAAACAAGTTATAAGGGAACTGTTCCACTCATACATGCTGTTAGATATCATCTGACGAAAATTGAAGAAATTTTCGAGCCGTTCATGAGCAAGTGTCTTTAGAGAGAATATTTATGTCATTGACTTGGCCAGACATGGCTGGATGTACACGTATGGTTGAAAGTCTTCTTGTTGATTGCAGTGCAGAAGTTTGGAGAAAGGGGTACCAGATCAGCAAGTCATTTGACCGGGGTCAAAATTGTGTGGCATTCTTACCATGACCATTGAGGGATAGAGCCCTAACAATGAGACTAGGTGCTTTGCTATGGTTAGATGATGTGAGCGTCATTGGCTTCGGATAACTATATCAATTGCTTAAGGGGTCGCGGTGACTCAGTGGATAAAAGCATTTGCTACCCAATGGGATGATCCAAATTCGACTCCCAGTGGTGACTTGTTGATTTTTAAGCGCTCTTTACTGAAGATTTACATCAACAAGGTACCTTTTTATTCCAATATCTCGTACCGGAGCAGTGGTTTTTCAGGGGATAGAGCACTCCCATTCCTTGAGTTAACCGATTTTGGAATCCCAGCGACGGCTAATCCATTCGAATTCGCACTCGCCTCATACCGACATCAGTGCTGACGTAAAATATCCTCAGTCGTAGACGGATCATTGTAAGAATACCTTTGCCACTAGTCTAACCGAGGGATGTTTTCGTGGTGTTCTTCCCGACTTAACTCAAATGCAGGTTAGTTCCATCAAACAGTCCTCTACGAATGTTAGTTTTTCCGGTGCTTGATCTAGGAGTTCCCTTGTCTTTTGGATTGGGCTCTAAATTAAAAAGCTACGGAGTTGGACATTGATAGTTGCTAACTCAGAATTAGATCTGTTGTCTAACGTAGGTTATAATGCGAAATGAAATCAATTACCTAAATGAAAAACTGACACCCGTTAGAGCATTAAATAAGCTGTGGTGATCTTAACGCCACCAATCGAATATTAATGAATTCACTTGAAAGCTTTAAAATCACTCTAAGGATGTGATAAGATAAATTTTTTTACTCCCAGTAGTGTAATAGAATATTCTTGAGATAGTGGAACAATTAGTGGAACCACTTTGATATAAGCCCTTGCCACTATTTTTGGAGTTAAGATAAGTGCCTTTTTTACACCAAGTAGCGTAAAGAATATTCTTGGGATAGTGGAACACCACTTTGATATAAGTACTTGCCACTATTTTTGGAGTTAAGATAAGTGCCTTTTTTACACCAAGTAGTGTAATAGAATATTCTTGGGATAGAGGAACAATTAGTGGAACACCACTTTGGTGTAAGTACTTGCCACTATTTTTTGAATTACGATAAGTTCTTTTTTTTGCGCCAAGTAGTATAATAGAATATTCCTGGGATAGTGGAGCACCACTTTGACGTAAGTACTTGCCACTATTTTTGATGTTACGATACGCGAAAAGTTTTCACAGTGTACATAATCAATAATTTTTGTTAGGATGTAAAAGCCTTGAGACAATCGCAATGGTATTTCTCATAAAAATCTATATGGGGTTAAATTTTTATTTAAACATAATTCAATTATAGAGCATGCGGGTGCTTAACTGTGATAGAAATATTCAAATTCCTCGCATTTATTACAAGAAATTTATTCCATAAATACTTTACTAACTATATATATTTCCTTTAACATCTATATTTACAACATTAGATATTTGATGTAAAGTGCTCATATCATCTTTTTTTAATCCATGTCATAAGTCTTCATTATCGACGAAGGAATGTTGCAACACACCATAATAATGTCCATGTTTTCTCAACTCGAAAAACTATTAAAATTTTATTTACGGTTTTATTAAGATCAGCTACTGTACTCTTTGAACTTAGATTTAAATAAACGAACAACAAAGTTCAAAAAGGTTCCTCGAAAGCATGATTGAGTTGACACATTCTGGCTTCTTACCGAAAGATATTCTAATAAAAGACACAAATAATAATGATTATTGGATGAGCTGTCAAGGGAGACCAGTTTGGTTCCGCTTAAGCCTCATCCTCCGGGATAGCCTCGATCTCAGATTCCAGTCTAGGTTCCTGTCAACGATAAATGAGACGAAAAAGCATAAATAATAACGCGACACAACCGAATGAGAGGAGAAATACAACAAGTTCTTTATGATTTTGTTCAGCCTCCACTGTCCGGCACGTATTACTGTTTTGATAAAGATCAAAAAGTTTGATTAATGATTCGATGGCAAAATGTTACTATTAACGAGGGCTCTTTCTTTTTCAGTCTTTGTTTTATTTTCACCCAATCATAAATTTGGTAAAGTAAAAATATGATGGTAATTTGCTGCAATAAATCGCGACATTTGTAGTTGACAAATATAATGTTGTATCCTCACAAGTTTACATTGTAACTCTTGAGTGATTTGTTTGACAAATGAAAAAAAAAATGTGAACCAGTCTTTTTCTATGAAAATAAGAATTAAAAGAGGTTTAAATTGTATAATTCGGAGGTGGTATATTTTGAATAGTTCATTTCGCTATCTCGAATTCCAAAATAAGGAAACGAAAAAGAGGGATAGATGAAACGGTTTACGGATAGCCAATCATTTCGAGCCCAGAAAACATGTAGCCAATTACAAAAATAAAGTTTAAGCTTAGTAATTCCGTTATAACTTACTACGCTTATCACGCGTATTCATTTTATTTTATTCTTATACTTTCCTTCTACTTTTCAAAATAATATTTTTCAAGAATAATTGAATAAATTTTTTGAGCATAAATTTATGAATGTAAATTTTTTTTTGTATATTAAATTTTTAACATTCAGCGAATTTAAGCTTTTGTTATCTTAATTTTACTGTCGGCATCTATTAACCAAACATATGAAGATTTCAAACTAAACACATAAAAATCCTGACATATAATCGGTTACTCAAGTTGTTTATGTCTTAAAAAAAAGTTTTTTTTTGTCAATTTGGTGCCTGTAACTCGAGAAGAAAAGTGCGAAATTAGCTGGTTGCTCATAAACAAGAAGGCTACAACTATTAGGCTTGGTTTATTATCCCACCGAATCAATTTCTGTATCAGATTTAATTGGGCATCTGTGAGCGACGTAACACGTGGGGTGTCAAACCTGATTGGCTGCTGAATCGTGGCATAAGCAAATGCCGCGATTCAGCTGTTACGTTAACACGCCAGATCATAGATGCACAACAAAGTCCGTAATTTTAGGAGCTATTTTCTGGCATAATTTATAAGGGTATTAATTATAGAATTTAATGGATTCTGTAATGTATTCAGAGCTTTGGCACATTACGGAACCATGACCAATCTGAATTTTGATGTTTCATTTCTTTAAAGTTAAAAAAAAATAAGAAAATAAAAAAGTCATGACACACTGCGGAACCATGGCCAATCTGAATTTTGATGTTTCATTTGTTTAAAGTTAAAAAAAAGTATATGAATAAAAAAGCCATGGCACATTGCGGAACCATGGCCAATCTGAATTTTGATGTTTCATTTCTTTAAAGTTAAAAAAAAATAAAAAAAATGAAAAAGCCATGGCACATTGCGGAACCATGGCCAATCTGAATTTTGATGTTTCATTTCTTTAAAGTTAAAAAAAAAAAATAAAAAAATAAAAAGGCCATGGCACATTGCGGAACCATGGCCAATCTGAATTTTGATGCTTCATTTCTTTAAAGTTAAAAAAAAAAAATTTAAAAAAAAAATAAAAAGCCATGGCAATTTTTTTATATATTAAAAGTCACTTCTTGTCAAGGTTAAGATTTATGTACAATCCTATTTCAAGGGGTGATCGTATAAAATTCGATTTTTCTCGGTTTCTAAGTTTATTTTTACACAATAATTATTAAAAAAATTGTTGTATTAGCTTTTTCAATTTTAAATCATAGATTTTTTTACTATTTGCTCTTTTAAATAAATATTAGGAAATTGTTCTTATAGGAATTATGTTTCATTTTAATTTATAAACATACAGTTGTGATTAAAAAACAACAAGCGTACTATAAAGAAAAATCGACTTCGATCCTCATTGTCACCAAATATATTTTTAATAAAAGAACAGCATGAATAAAATTCGTCTAGGTTTGCAGTTAATAATATGATCGCATTGTCACAAAATATATTTTTTATGAAAGAGTAGCACGACTAAAATTATTCTAGGCATGTAATAAATAATGATATGAGAGCCGCGATGGCTCAGGGAATAGAGCGTTCGNGGTTTTCCCACATCCTACTTTTATTTTGATATCCAATCACAGGAGAGGGGTAGATAAGGATAAGGGTCTTTTTCCAAATTTAAAACAGACTCCCATTTAACTGACCTTGAACTATTTTTAAAGTTAAAAAAAAAAAAAAAAAGCCATGGCAATTTTTTTATTTATTAAAAGTCACTTCTTGTCAAGGTTAAGATTTATGTACAATCCTATCTCAAGGGGTGATCGCATAAAATTCGATTTTTCTCGGTTTCTAACTGTATTTTTACACAATAATTAAAGAAATTGTTGTAACAGCTTTTTCAATTTTAAATCCTAGATTTGTTTTACTGTTTATTTTTTTTAAATAAATATTAGGAAATTGTTCTTATTTGAATTATGTTTCATTTTAATTTATAAACATACAGTTGTGATTGAAAAACAACAAGCGTGCTATAAAGAAAAATCGACTTCGATCCTCATTGTCACCAAATATATTTTTAATAAAAGCAGTTAATAATATGATCGCATTGTCACAAAATATATTTTTTATGAAAGAGTAGCACGACTAAAATTATTCTAGGCATGTAATAAATAATGATATGATAGCTTTACCTACAGTCTCTGAAGCTTAAAAAGTTTCTAAGTTTGTTTTTAACTATTACCCCGAACATTATGAGAAAATCATATCCATCATAATCCTCTTTAATTTGAAAGTGTAATTCCTTGTTATGATATTTCCTAAAAGAATAGCATTTTCATTATGTGTAACAATGTGGCACTTTTTAAAAAAAATGTATTTTTATACATTTAGTGCAATCCGTTCTTCTAAGTCCGGTGCGAGGTTTTTAAAAGTTATTTGATAATCAAATAAATTAGTTTGGAACGCTTTCTATTGAAACAATGCCGAAAATTCGTACTCCAGATTTGAAATTCATCAGTAATGAAAAAGAATATTTCGTATGAAAGGGAACTTATTGATTAATTTATAAGAATATTAAACATAAGTATGCCTAGTCAAATCAAATTATGTCTAAATCAAATTATGCTTTGAAATTTATCCTTGGAACAAGTTATAATATAAATTTAGAGTCTGAAAGTTGTTAATGCTATGAAACAAAAATAAGTGAAAACGATACTGAAAACTTTCAAAAATGAAATAGTATGTTTAAAAATTTGTTCAGAGAAAATAATTGTAATTTAAAAAATTATATCGAGCATAATTTAAACTAAATAACTAGCAACCACTATTACAAGTTAATGTTGAAATCATTAAGTAATAATCAAAATAGTTCAAAGCAATCATTTTAAATTTATTATAAACTATTAACAAATTATTTATAAACTATCTATAGTCATTAATTTTATTAAATTGGAAATAGTTTTTTGGTGTTTGAAAAAAAAAGTGGTCAATTAAAAAAATTTCAGAAGTTTGGAAAGATTATTGAGAAGGCACGTGCCCCGCAGCGCTACGCCTATGATGCATAACCAGATAATTTCAGAGGTCTTCTTTGATTCGAGTTGCAGGTATCCAATTAGTAATTAGTATCTTGTCTCACGTCTTGCATCACTATTGGTTACCTTCATTTCTTATCACAAAATATTTAAGAACATTCCGACATATTTTTATAAAATTTCTCATGCTCTAACCTGGGACGAAATAGATGTTTAAATGTTAAAAAATTATGTCTAAATCAACTTTCTTTTAAATAAGCAATTCTTAATACTATAGAGTAAAAACATGTTCAACTATCCTTACTTGTTTTTTTTTTCCAGGAAAATTAATTTATCTTAAATGCATACTTCATAAGACTTAATTGGGTTTTCTAGAAATTCATAGATTTCTTTTATACTTGTATCTTGTATCAAATATCGTAATAAATACTTGTATCAAATATTGTAAATAACGTAACTGAGTCTTGGTGGCGCATGGGATAGAACGTTCATCTTCTAGTAAGGCGAACCGGATTCGAATCCCAGCAATGGCTGGTCGATACTAATTCTGCATCCGGCTTGCACCGACTACAGTGCTGATGTCAAATATCCTCAGTGGTAGGCAAATCATGGGTTAGAGTCCCCTTGCCGTCAGGCTAGCCGTGGGAGGTATTCGTGGTTTTCCTCTCCATGCAATGCAAATGCGGGTTAGTTCCATCAAAAAGTCCTTCACGAATATAAATTTCCCCCAATACATGATCCATGTCCTTCTTGATCCCTTGTCTTCTTTATTGGGTTCAAAATTACAAGGCTATGAAGTTATTGGTAAACCCAAAATTGATAGGTTGTTCAACGATGGTTATAAAATGATTTAAACGTTACTGTATTTGCAGGTTGTTTTCTATCAAGCGTTGCACCCGCTGCCACCTATCCATCTCTCCAAGGGAACTGGTGATGCGAGCCAGAGAACACGTCTACCACCTCCACTGTTTCACTTGCGCCACTTGCAACAAACCCCTCACAAAAGGTGAATACTTCGGACTGAAGCAGGACATCATTTATTGCAGGAGTCACTATGAGATGCTTCTGCAATATGAGAGGCCCTACCTCTGTTCCCAGCAGTGTTTGAAAGAAGAGGGCAAGCAAGATTCAGACGGCAAGTGCTTCAACGGAAGGTGCCAAAACATTGCACAGATTCCTAACCTGCCCTGCGGTATGGAACTGTTCCAACAGCAGCAGAGGACAGTAAATAGTGGGGAAGATCTTCCCATCAGGACTGTGAATGCAATCGGGAAGAATGCTGGTCAGAAGGGAAGACCAAGAAAGCAAAAGAGCTTTCTCTCCTCTTCATTACTGCTGGCCCACAGGGGTGAGTTGTTCTTTTTTGATAAGGCTATTCTTCGCAGATTTTATAACTATGTGCAATTACTCTCTTAAATATGCTATTTTTATTACTGTTGAGAGTTTGTATTCATGACTGTTAGGTTAAGTATTGTCCATATTGAGCCAGTTCTTTCAAATTCTAATTATGAAAATGGCGCAAAATGCTGACAGGAATAAAAGTCAGTTTTGTCGCAAGAAAAACCATTTACCATCTCATTTTCTGGGCTAAATAAAAGCGAAAAATTGAGAGTTATTTACTAATCGTAGATTCTGCGCAGTAACGCTTTTAAATATGCTAATTTCATTACTGTTGAGAGTTTGTATTCATAACTGTTAGGTTAAGTATTGTCCATATTGAGCCAGTTCTTTCAAATTCTAATTATGAAAATGGCGCAAATTGTCGGAATTTATATTAAAGAAAGTCGTTTGTCATCTTATTTTCTGCGATAAAAGAATAGAGTTATTTGCTAATTTATTTATTAGTTATTTGCTAATAATTAACTTTCATCAAACGCATCAAATTTCAAAACAGGAGATTTTTTTTTTAAATTTGTTATATTTGTTTAAAAATTATTGAAGCTACTTATTCATTTTAAATTCCAACCATGCTTTTTTACATCAATAAGATATATATCTTTAGTTAAGTTGAGCAGATTTCTAATCCATGATTTGAGGGCAATATCAGAGGAGCGTCTTCGAAAATTTTTATGATTTGATTACACCCTTATATTTATGGGAATCACTATTTTATACGAACAACAATAAGCTAGTTTATTCAAGAGAGCAATTAAATCTTTACTTTAAGGTACTCAAAATGTATATATTTTTTATTTATTTCATTCTCCTTGGCAAAAGAGCTTCGAAGAACATCCTTAAAAGTGAAACTAGCTAAGAAGGTTTGTCCAACAGCTGCATGCAACCAAAGTGGAGGCCTTGTTTAAATGGTTAAAATGGTTTGTCAAACAGCTACATCGAGAATAAATAATTTACTTAAATTTCTAATTTATAAAAAGGTCTTATTTAATTGGTGGGAAAAGTTTGTCGAACAGTAAAATGTTTAAGAACAATAAAATAATAATATTACTTGAAACTGAATTGATAATTATTTCAGTTTCATTAACAAAATAAAATAGTGACAGTTTTGTTTAGCTGGTTAAGAAGTTTTGTTAAACAGTTAAATTTTTACAAAAATTCACATCGTGAATAAATAATTAAATTTAATTAAACATTAAAAGTAAAAGTATAATTAGTAATAATTATTCTAATTAGTAATAATTAGTCTAATTTTGTAATATTAGAAGGAAATAATAATTAAAGGTCTGTAGTTATGTCTAGTTTTCACTCTCCAACGAGAAGTTACATCAAAAAGATATTTTCTTTTGATTAGCGATAAAGGAATATTAAATGCTATGAAAACAAAGAGTTACTTATCTCTGGATTTCTTCGAATTTGAATAAAAGAATAATTAATTCAAACACAATTTATTCTACTAAATTTCAGATGGAAGAAGCATTTTCATAAAATATTCTACAAAAACATCGCCAATGTAACTTAACTGTATAATCTCGGTTCACGAACAATTCAAAAAAATGAGTTTTCACTTGGCTCAGTTTGGCTCGGAACTTAATGTGAGTCATCTAAAAAAAAAAAGTACCCATATCGCCAAAAAAAAAAAGGGAACGAAAAAGGAACAAAAAAGGTTGAAATGATTCCTACTACGAAGTACAAATTAGTCCTTGTATGCTTTCCAGTCCAGGATATCGAAAGTGATTCCGCCGTCTGGGCGGCGCAAATCCGAATACCCTCTTTCGAATTAGTTGTCATCTTTCTCCGAGAAACTGGAATCCGATTACTACCCTTTCCTGTTTTCCTTCCAGGAATTAAATTTTATCTCAGCTCCTAAATCTTCCAAATCCTGGAACAGCGTTCCTACTCTTCGTAATTGGGCCGAGTTGTTTTCCATGCTGCAGCCGACTTTTTTTTCCCCTTTTCATTCGGTATTTTTCCCTCTTTGACGCGCAATATTCCCGTTTTTTGTTGTTATTTTCCCTCTTTTTCACTTATCCTTCTTATGTATTATATTCTTTTAGTACTTGTCTTATATTAGGATTTTGCAAGGTTGGTTGGGTGGTGGGGAAGGGGTTGAGTGATATGTTTGTCTTCTGCAGCGACGTCGACTTTTTGTGGAGAAAAAGGATTAATTCTGGATAGGGTTTTCTAAGTTGAAGAATGGCTCAAGTAGTTGCTTTGGAAAATAAACGTTCGAATATTCTTAAGGCTCGTATGATTATTAACTATAGCAACTAAAAACAGTTCTGAAAACAAGGATTAAGTAAAAAAAAAGTTGTGTTTCTCTACAAATAATAATAATAAATAAAAGTATGGAATGCTATTTTTTTCATGAAGATTTATGTCTTTTGACTTACAAAACTAATTTTCTCTGATCAACTATAATCGATGATATAAAACTTTTGATATTATTTTAATCAGTAGTTTGAACAAGGAATCTATCTATTTTTTTTTTTTTTATAAAATTGAAATTTCTTACAGTTCTTAGATTTTTTATTTATTTGAAAAGCTTAATGAGAGAGAGTGACATATGACATTTAATTAAATTTGAGGGGGGAAAAAACTTAAGAAAGCAAAGAAAATCAAGAAAGCTGCTCATAAAACAACACTTTCAATTAAAAATCACCTTGCTTATAGAACAAATTCATATTTTTTTTGAAATATAAACATCACGCATTTTAAACTCGGGGTTCCGAGTGTTTATTAAACTATTACTTAACATGCTTTTCCAATAAGTCATGCATCTGAATTTGGTATTTGATTGTTTTAAAAACATAATTTAACACATTAAGTGATATTTGCTAACGTAGAGTTTAGAAGTATTTTAAAAACAATCACTTAGCAAATTTGCTTTAAAATTATCACTTAACATGTTAAGATTGATGAGCTTAGTGGTATTTTAAAATAAATCATTTAACAGGATGGTTTTTGAAATAGCACTAAGCTCTGTATTTGAATTGGGGATTTCAGTGTATGGAAAATACTCCACCCAACTTACACTAAGCTCAATATTTAAAGAATGTGAATGTTTTGAACATGTTACTGAACATTAATTTAACATGTTCTTTCACTAAATTCTAAATTTGAATTGGGACTTTGTGAGCTTCTAAATATATTCCTTAACATGTTCGTTCGGTAAGTTCTATATTGGAATTGTGATTTCGTTTGTTTTTGTTTAACTTGTTCTCAATATCTGAATTAGCAATCTAAATAATAGGACACTAGTAATATTCTATGCGATTGAAGTTGGCATTTTTATCATTTTAATTGATGATTAGCTTATTCCTGGATTCAAATTATATCGATTCACTATTACGCTGATCTATTGATTGGCTTCCATTTTTCATTGTGTTTTTCTTCCTTCTTGCAACCATAACGACGTAAACTTACAATAAAAGTATGCAATCATTGAAATAACAACGGTTAAAATAAACGATTTAACAAGTGAAAATTTAAAAAAACAAAAAAACAAACAACTTCGTCTAAAGAAAATGCATTTCAAAAATGCAAAAATTAAGAAAAAATATCGCTGTTATAACAACAGAAAATATTAAATGATTGATACTTTTAAACTATGTTGACAAAAATAATGATCTAATCTCCTCCTAAGATAAGTTAGATAATTGGTAAACTAAGATTAGATAATTGATAAATAATTAGATTAAAAAAAAGGCTAAGCACTCTGAATGAATAAATTTTCGGATTATCACGCATTTAACTTAAGTCTTCGAAAAAAATTCGAATGGTTCGAAAAAAACTTCCTTAAGTATGATAAAAACAGACCATTAAGTAAGGAACAAAATAAGACAAATTAATATACTTTCGCGGAATAAATAAATCTGATGGTTTCAAATTTTTGACCAAGTGAAAGGCCATAAGAGCAATCTAGAAAATATAATCCCAATCCGAATTAGTCAGAAAAGTGGTTGAAAATACTTGAAACTTTGAATTTAGCGTGGTCCAAAATTTTCGACCACTCTCTATAAGCGACGAGACCATATTCTTCAGAATTTCCGCTCGTGGCAAAGCTATAATTTCAAACTATACCTTACAGCTAAAAAAATCTGGGTCTTAGAATAGTCAAATATTAATTTCTTCGGAAAATAATTTTGTTTTTTCCTAACACCGAACTTTTTACAGTCAACTTCACACTTCAGTCGTGCAATCATTACATATTTTGGCAGTTGTTACATTAAGGCTTTCTTGTGAAAAAATTCCATTGATTCTATGCAGTAGTTTTTGGTTGGTGCCTTTTCAGCAGTATTTTCGGCATATTATACTTCTTAAACATATTTCATTTTATTTTATAACCGTCGTTGAACTGCCGACCCAATTTCATGGGTTTACGACTGCTTGCGTTCAACTCCGTAGCCTTGTAATTTTGAACCAATCCAGAAGACAAGGAAACTCCTGGATCAGTACCCCCAGAGGTATTGATTTGTTGTGGGAACATGGAGGACTTTTTGACTCGACAGATTTAACGTGCATCAGTCACCATTTACTACACGGGGAGTCTTCGGCCGGCGAGGATCGAACCCACGACCTCTTGGATATGGGCCCAGCGCCCTACCGACCAGGCTATCCCGGCCCCTTCTTAAACATATTGCATAATTTACTGCTGCATGATTAAAAATGATCAATCAGGAAAAAAAAACTATCCGATGTGAATAAGGAAGATGTATTGACAGGACGCCACTGCCAAAAGTGGTTTGCGAAATTTCGATCCTGCAATTTTGTTGTTGAAGATGCACCATGTTCTGGAAAGTCAGTTAAAGCTGATGACGACACAATTTAGGTATTAATTGATACAAACTGGTGAATAATAACACCTGAGATTGCTGAGAGATTAAATTAATCGAATTTTACCGTTCATGATCATTTGAAAAGACAAACTTTAATCTTAAATCTCGGCATTTGAGTTCTTTATGTTCTTACGGGAAGAAATTTGACGTATGTGATTTCTTCTCCAAACGTCAAGAGAAATGAACCATTTTTGTAGAGCATCATCTCTGAGCATAAGAAATAGGATGTTTACAACATTTGGTTCAGTTTTTACAAATTTTTTGGACGTTAAAACCTTTATTTCAAAAGAGGTGGCCAATAATCACTTGGATTAGTTTTCTGCCAACTGAGAACAAAAATGTTACAAGTGTGGATTTGAGCTTTTGCCAAAACGATATAATTCAATAAAATGTCTATTCACTATAAAGAAAAAATCGTCTTTCATTCGCACAAAAAAACTAAAATACTTTCCGAACAACCCAATAACTTTTAGTTTTAAAAAGCCTTTAAGTATAAGAAATTTAGTGTATTTTTTAAACCTGGATGAAAAATATCAGAATCAATGAATAATTTTCAGTTCTTACAAATTTTTAGGATTCCGGATCGTTGGAGTAACTTTCTAAAAATTAAAACAATTAAATCTCAGACTCTCTTTATTTTTGCAAAACTGGGGCTCTTCTTCATATTGATGTTTAGAGCAAATTTTAAAATGCATCTGAGTGCGCTGACTAAAGGAAGACTTAAAATAATAGTCACGATTAATTGATGCAAACTAACAACAGTTATAAAAATAGCATATTTTTCTCCAAAAAAAAAGGGAAAAAATACTTTATTTTTCGTGAAAAATTGCCTTTTCAGAGAAAGTGCGCTTATGTGTCTTAGTTTATCGTCACGCCTTATATTATTAATCGATTGACATATTTACCTATTCAGACCGACTAGGAATGTATTTTAGTACGGGAAAAATCAATCTTTAGATGAAAAGTTATTATTCTGGTTGTTTTGTTTTGACTGCACCATGTAAAGAATCTAAGTGTTAAGTCCCATACAAAGGTCAAATTCCTTCGAAGTGAATAGGCAGGCAGTTTCATTCTGAGTTTACATACACCACTTTTATTTCGAACGTTAAAGTTCGAATAGCTGAAATCTTCAATCCACCCCGTGTGTTTTCTTTTTGTCCTGGTCTGGAACATCAAAATCCATCTTTAGGGATCAATCACTGCCGAACTAAAAAGAAGCTTTTTCATTGGTCGCTTCCTTCTTATCCTTTCTGCGTTTATTTTTATCATCCTTTTGTTTGTTTTTCTTCTCTCTCCTCTCACAAAGGAGAAGCTCAAGAGCAAGCGAACGGGAGGATGGGGATGAAAGGATGTTGAGAGGAAGGAAGATGTGTGCTATCATTTCGGGGCTGCTTATTTTTGTTTTATTTAAGGGAGGAGTTTTCAGAATCTGTGAGAATCAATTCAGGAAGGTTTTTTTTTCTCTCTCTCTCTGTTTTTCTTTAAAAATTTGTATTTTCGGAGTTGTATTTTTGTTTTGTGTGTTATTCTTAGAAAAATGGATACTAATTATGCTATTTTGATCTTGAAATTCTCAAGAACGAATCATTAATTTTTCTTTACCAAGAGCATTTTTCGCGTTAAGCATATTTTATTTCTGGTAAATAAAATTTAATTTTCAAGAAGTTTACATTTAAGTTAATTGTTTTGAAATATAATTCTACGGTGATGTTTTGAACTTATTTAAAGCTAGTTAAAGATAAATAATGGTAAAAAAATTGCTTGCATCGCCAAAATAGTAATAGTTTTATTTTAGGACTGGTGGGACGGGAGGTAATAGCAGGTATAATAATTTTATAACTTTAAATACATTTTGTTTCAAAATTTACAACTTATAAATGTAGTTTCTGCTTAACTTCATATANGCTGAATATTTTTGTTTCTGGAAATTTAAGTTTCTGGAAGTTTAAGAAAAGTGTTTTTTAACTATAAATCAAATTGGTTTTCTACGATTTAAAAAAATAATTTGAATTTTGAACTTTTTTTTCTTTCAAAAATGACAAATGTACGGTATAAAAGGACTTTCTCATAATTGCTTTTTTACTACTTGTAAATTTCTTTATATAAATTTCATGAAAAAAAAAACTTAGGCGCCTTAGCGACGTTAGTTGGTGTGAAGAGTAAGCGATATGGAAATATTCCCGATTTGAAACACTGAATATTTATTGACATCTTATTAGCAATTAAATCGATAATCTCGGGAAAAAAACTCATATTTTGGATAATAGCTTTAATGCAATTGATTTCATAATTTAATTGCTTAGATGAAGAACTCAGTAAATCAAGGTTTTAAAGGTTTTAATTTTCTTATTGAGTAAGTGATAGAAAATATGGTTAGTGATATACAGTGGTTTGAAAGCAGTTATCGTTACGGATAACAAGAATGTCAAAAAAGAAAGACAATTATGAAATACTTTTTTAACACAGGTAATTAAATAATTGGTCGTCAATTCAATGAACACATTCAATTTAATTGTGTATTCAACGTAATTGAATGCTTAACCTCAATGCTGAGTTACGCGGTGCCATTTAAAGTATTAATAATTTAACAGAAAAAATCAAAACTTTACTGATTAATTTCGGAATTTTTAAAAAAAAAATTTAACTTTTGACATTATTAGTGCGAAAGTCGGGGACTTTACGGCTTTTTCAGTGATAAAAGGGACTTTTGGGGACCAACTAGTATAACTGAGATCATTTAGGAAAATAAGGACCTAGAGGTAGCCCTGTAATTTGCAAAGAAGGCATGGTTAAACAAGATGTTCTGTAAAGACTGCCTTTAATATATATCTTTAAAATCCTTATCAGAAATGACAACAAAAAAGTATACACATTCGGGAACGCAGACGAATATTTAAGCAAGGAAAAAAACGCTATCAACGTAGAGGAAGGCATATGTAACAAGCAACAGGACAAATTTAATGTCACACCGAGAAGAAAGATGATAAGTAGAAACACCTTCAATTTCGAACCTTCATGTTTGATGTTTATTATATATTCCTATGCGATTTGTCAGATTTTGATCAAGTTTTGTTTTTATTTTCTTTAAAATATTTATTTACGGCACTTCGATATACACACTTTCCTTTAATTTTTTATTAGAATTCTCAAAATGCATATCTAGGCCTCATTTTTGATATAAAGATTCTAAAAATATATATTAAAAGAGGTTATTACGGAACACCCTTTGTATTTTCTGAAGCAAACATATTTAACAAAACAGACGATAAACATTTTATTTGAAGTTTAACAAGGAAGTAATCGAATTTAAATTTAGAATTTTCTGTCCTTTGAAATAATGTGCTGTCGTCAACAATTTCATCAATTCAAAACTGTAAGCTTTATTTTATGCATAGCCGGCTCAGGAGATAACGCAGCTTAGCATTAAAACGAATTAATTCTGGGTCCCTTGGAAACTTTCAGAAAGGGTCAGCGAAAATTGCTTCGGACATCGTCATTGAGTAAGCTGGCTTTGTCTCTGATGATACTCTCTCTACTTTTATAATCAGATTAGAGAGTTGAACGAAATCAAATTTGACTTTATCAAAAGCGACATGAAGTACACCGTAGCTGTGACTGCAACGGCAGTCGATTTGATTAAAATGAACTGAGTTTATTTAAAAGCTTCAAATCTGATCGAAAAGCGAAGGAATTTGAGAAGCAGAGGAAAATAACATTTTCAGAATTTATTCAGGAATTTACTTCATTTTGAGATAGAGAAGAATTACTTCAAACACCATTTTTCATATTTTAAAATTGAAAATAAAACATCAATTTTATTCCTAGACTATTTATTTAATCATTTCCATTGCGTATACAGGGTTTTCTATAATCACTGCCCTTATTCGTTTATAATTTTTTCGAAATGGATCTACATTTTTAGTTACTGCTTTTAATCCTAAAGTTATAGAGAAAAATAAGAAATTTAGCTGTTGGCTAGTGGTTGGTTTTAAAAATATGTGGTCACTTTCTCTTAAAGAGAAAATTTTTAATAATTGAAAAATCTGATGGTATTTATGAAAAATGGCACTTCTATTGAAACTATTCTATTCTAGGTCAAGAAAACTGAGATGGGCACAGTAGGCCTTGCCCCTCTAGGGCTGTCGCGCCACTGAGTTTTAGTATTGAAACATAGTTTAAAATACTGTAAACATTATAAGGTTAACTTTCGAAGTAAATCAAAATTTTAAAAAACATGCTTGAAATGAATTATTTTCAGAACATTATAAAATTTTTATAATAATTTCATTAAAAAATAACAATAAAATACTCACGGGAGCATTTTTGATAAAAAAAAAGTATCGTTTAGGTGATGCCTTGCAGATAAGTTTTAAATCATCAATTGTTATATTTAGTTGCCTCGTAGTCGTTGATTTTGTCCTCTAGGTAAAGTCATGGTTAAGCAATGATCTGAAATAGAGCCCCAGTTTTACCTAGTTATCTCAAATTAATGGCTCACTTACTGCAGGATAATAAATATAAGCAATAGTCTTAAAAAGAGTCCTAGTTTTACCTATCTCAAACTAATGGCATCACTTGCGTCAGACATTACGTCAGAAAACATTAAAATATGCGTTTGATTGTTTGAGTGGACAGAAAAGTTCTGAGAGGCGAGTCTGAAAAACAATTTTATCAAGTGTTCAAACAGGTTTTCACGTTTTCAATCTCGCTTTTCTCAGTAGTGATTTGTTAGATTTCGATAATTTTCTTCTTCTCTTAAATATTAATTTATATCAATATCTATTTAAAATAATTTATATCTTCTTATTTTAATTGACCCCTAATATTTATGCGTTTTTTGGATTTAAACAATATCTATCAAGAGTGGCTGTCATTGTAGAACAGCCTATTTGTATTAAGCATGGTCCTGTAATAAAATAAGAATTATACCTTGAAAAGTTTCCTCACCATGTTCCTTAAATTACAGGTCCCAGCTCCGATGACCACTGTTCCTTGTCAAGTGATCACCACTCGCCGCTTCAGCACAATTCGAACAGCTTGACCGCTGTGGGAAGTGACAGCAGCACTTCAAGTGAACACCTGACGCGTCCAAAGCGCATGCGCACATCCTTCAAGCATCATCAGCTGAGGGCGATGAAATCATATTTCTCGATTAATCACAATCCTGATGCCAAAGATCTGAAACAGCTCTCCCAGAAGACTGGCTTGTCGAAAAGGGTGCTACAGGTGAGGAATAACACTCTGTTTTAAATATTGTAAGCTAGTCGAAAAATCCAGCTATTTGGAAATCAGTTAGTCATTAACATTTTCCAATCAGCCCTACATGATTTAGGGTCCCGCAGTGGACTGATCTTAAGGACACGGTTTCCTGTGGAGCACTGAAGTCAAGAATCACTGGTTGTGGTCAGTAAGCGGGTGGATGACCACTTAGATAAGCCTGGGTAGAGACCGAGGATGCGCGGTATCAATCCTCTTTAAACTGTTCTATCGTAAAGTGCTTGACATCGCGCTCGCACTCTAGGGGAGCCACCCCCTTTGCAGGGGATCAAAATCGCGATAAAATGTCTACGAATCATCCTAAGGAATGTTTTCCAGACAGTCGCCAACCGTCCATTGTTCAGTTCTAGTGCGACGCAAATAAAGTACCTACCTACATATTTTAGGCTTATTACAATTTGTCCTCATGCCTTGAGATTCGTTGGAAACTACGCAAATAATTACTTAATCGGATTGAATAGACTTAGGCTTATTATAATAAACATTTAATTAGGCTTATAATATTAAACCTGTAATTAGGCTAATTATAATAAGAAAAGGATAAATTTTATTTTGTATCTGAAAAAAAATTTAGTAACATGATAATACCCTACAATGATTGTAAGGGCAACAAATGTAAAATGGTATTAAGAAAGAAAACATGTCAAATTCAATTAACTTCAATAGGTGGTTGTCCTCACAAATTTTGGTATCATTTTGAATAAATATTGTTTGAAAAGTTAAATTTGTGCAAAGCGCATTACCATTCAGAACATTCTTTCCAAATTTACAAATACTACGAAAAAAATAGAAATGTTTTTAAATTTTCATGAAATTCAAATCGAACTTTTTTCATAAATTACCAAATACAATTCGGAATAAAATTATGAAAAAAAAAATTGTTCTTTTCAAAATGTTTTCTGCTTGATATGCTAAGGATAGCTTGAAATGCTCAGATCTTGCACAGTTTTTACCAATTTTTTTTTCAAATTTTAAAATAAAATTTTTGTATTATTTAAAATTTTGTTTAATTTTACTGCACATTTCACATGTTTACTACATATTTCTATGGTCATAGTATGAAAATGTTTTTATCTCTCTGAATATTGAAGTTAGGTTTACGAAATTTCGTGCAATTATTCCATGTAATAACCAAAGTAAATGATACAAATTAAAGTCTAAATACCATATTTTTTGTCATAGGGTGCTCAAAAACACTTTTTTTTTCGTCTATAATTTATTGCCGGTCTTTCAAATCCCTTAAAACTTTATTTATTCGCCTGAGAAATAACATGGCCTCAACTCTTCTAAACTTATAAAGTAATTATCTAAGTTTTTCTTGAAAAATATGAAAAAAGTACCAGCTAAAATAGTCACTTCCATTGTTGTAGGATAGTGAAAATTTAAAAAAGAAAAATGCATAATATGGTCTTACATTAACCAAAATTGAAGAATGCATTCAGTTAAAATTTTATAACATCAGTTTTCATCGCAGTAATTATAGTTACATTAATTTTCATCGTATTTACATAATTTTATTCCCATATTAATTTCTATCATATTAATTATATTCGCCTTAATGCTATCCTACAAATTATATTCATATTAATTTCATCACGCTAATTATATTCTTATTAACTTTTATAATATTAATTATACTCATACTAGTTTTTATCATGGTAATTACATTAACGCTAATTGTATCATATTAATTAAATTTGCATTGGTTTTTATCATGTTAATAATATAAGTATTAGTTTTTAATCAAATTGTAAGCCCATTTATGATGCACTTTTGAACTGCTTCAAAGTTTAGTGTCACTCCCATTATTTTATTTTATTTTACTGTCGCCGTTACAAAGCCGATCCAATTCTGAGTTTACGATTACCTATGCTCGACTTCGTAGCCTTGGGGCCGGGATAGCCTGGTCGGTAGGGCGCTAGACCTATGTCCGAGAATAATTTCGAACCCAATCCAGAATACAAGAAAACTTCAATATCGAGTAGTGGGAGAAATTTGCCTTCGTGGAGGACTTTTTGAAGGAACTAGCCCACATTTGCACTACAAGGAGAGGAAAATTACGAAAACCTTCCACGGTTAGCTTGACGTCAAAGGGACTCTAACCCATGACCCGCTTATCACTGAAGATATTTTACGTCAGCACTGTGGTCGGCGCGAAATTCGTATCGACCAGTCATCGCATAAATTCGAACACGGTTCACCTCATTGTAAGAGAAACGCCCTCTCCCCTGAGCCACCGCGACTCAGAATAATATTTCCAGAAGTATGGAAGTAAATATATCCAGAAATAATGTGAAGTACCCCAAAATTGAAATTAGCATTTAGTGCCCGAAAATGTCGACCGCTCGATACCTGAACTATTATAATCAAAACCTTCCACGAAAACCTTCCACACTTAGTTCGACCGCAAGGGGACTCATAACTCATGAACCTTCTACCACTAATGATATTTCACGTCAGCACTATCGTCGGTGCGAAATTCGTATAAACCAGCCATCGCATGGATTCGACCCTGGTTGCCTGGTTCACCTCATAGTAAGGCGAACGCTTTCTCCCCTGAGCCACCAAGACTCAGAATAATATATCTAGAAATATGGAAGTAAATGTATCCAGAAATATGGCGAAATATTCAAATATTGAAATTAGCATATAGCGGCCAAAAATGTCGACCGCTCGATACCTGAACTATTATAATCAATACCTTCTATGAAATCTACCACGAAAACCTTCCACAGTTTGTTCGACCGCAAGGGGACTCTAACCCAAAATCCTTCTTCCACTGAGGATATCTTACGCCAGCACTGTGGTTGGTACGAGCCGGGTCCAGAATTCGTACCTGCCAGCCATCGCTGGGGCTAGAACCTGGGTCACCTCATTGGGAGGNTCGACCAGTCATCGCATAAATTCGAACACGGTTCACCTCCTTGTAAGAGAAACGCCCTCTCCCCTGAGCCACCGCGACTCAGAATAATATATCCAGAAGTATGGAAGTAAATATATCCAGAAATAATGTGAAGTACCCCAAAATTGAAATTAACATTTAGTGGCCGAAAATGTCGCCTACTCGATATCTGAACTATTATAATCAAAACCTTCCACGAAACCTACCACGAAAACCTTCCACACTTAGTTCGACCGCAAGGGGACTCATAACCCATGAACCTTCGACCACTAATGATATTTCACGTCAACACTATCGTCGGTGCGACATTCGTATAAACCAGCCATCGCATGGATTCGACCCTGGCTCACCTCATAGTAAGGCGAACGCTTTCTCCCCTGAGCCACCAGGACTCCAAATAATATATCTAGAAATATGGAAGTAAATGTATCCAGAAATATGGCGCAATACTCAAATATAAAAATTAACATATAGTGGCCGAAAATGTCGACCGCTCGATACCTGAACTATTATAATCAATTCCTTCTATGAAATCTACCACGAAAACCTTCCACAGTTAGTTCGACCGCAAGGGGACTCTAACCCATAATCCTCCCACCACTAAGAATATCTTGGGGCCGGGATAGCCTGGTCGGTAGGGCGCTAGACCCATGTCCGAGAGTTGGCGGGGTTCGAACCCCGCCGGCTGAAGACTCCCCGTGTAGTTGGTGACTGATGCAAGTTAAAAGTCGGTCGAGTGGCAAAGTCCTCCATGTTCCCATAACAAATCAATACCTCTGGGGGTACTGGATTGGAGATCGATCGTTCTCTAATTCAGGTCAAAATTACGATCTGTGGATGAATGAATGGGTTCGCCTTATAAACAGGTGTAACGTATGATGTGGCAGAAGTCGAATTCTTTGCCATAGATGGCGCCACTGAAAAACAAGAATCGCACACTCTGCCTTAAATTTGCTCGGTTTCACCAAGCAGGCTTGCCCGTGTTGCAAGTGGCATTTGAACGTACCAACCAACCTAAGAATATCTTACTTCAGCACTGTGGTCGGTACGAGCCGGATCCAGAATTCGTTTCGACCAGCCATCGCAGGGGCTAGAACCTGGGTCACCTCATTGGGAGAAGAGCACTCTGTATTTCTCTCTTCCATTATTGTATGGTAATTAAATTCGTGATTTATTTTCCAGGTTTGGTTCCAAAACGCCAGAGCAAAGTGGAGGCGAAATTTGCTCCGTCAGCAAAGCCAAGGTCCAGAAATCGCACAGGACTGCAAACCTCTCTCTGAACTGGCGTCTCAGCCTCAATTCTGCGATCCATTTCGACTGGGTTCCTCGATCCTCGATGTCCAGCCGACACCCATAACACAGGAGGAACAGAACATACAGACTTTTACTAATTTACTCTAAAATTTGCTCACTGTTTTTGTAGGGACAATCTGTGTTCTAGTAAATGAGTCGATATTGCGGAGCATGATATTGTGAGCTGGTAAAATGAAATTTTTTTTAATGGAAATATTTTAATCCATTTGATATACTCTCTGAATCTCATGTAAATTTTAAACGGTTTTAACTTTTTTAACAATACTGATACTCCTGAGTTTCAAGTATTTTAAATAGAGTTTAGCCCTTTAAAGCAATATTTATTAAGCATATTTTTCATTTTTTCTCTCATTATTTTGCATTAATTTAAGTCAAAATAACTGAAAAATATTACATTTAGCATTTTAATAATTTATGGTTGTGAAATATAGCATGAAACACCGGTGTCTTTTTATGCTTTTAAGATAAAATCTCCCAAGCACGTGTTACTTTCAAACAATAATTTTTCACTTTTAGACTTAGTTGCAGTTATGTAGATCTGAGAGAAACAGTTGTTCATCATTAAAGTTTCTCTTATTTACAAAATCAATATTTGCTAACTTTTTGAATATGACCTGAAAATATTTCTTTCAAACTAATTTCTTGGATTTTATATTTTAGCACAAATATAAATCTGAAAATCTAACAGATTTTTTAGTAATTATTAGACTGGTTTTTATAATTAAAAATAGCAAAATATATTTTTACTCGTAATTAGATCCTCCGAAAATACATAAAAGGGACACCAGTGTCCCAACTGCGTCAAAGGTTTAAAAAGCATGTCAATTCCCACCACATTAAATTTTCACCAATTTCTGCACAATTCCTTTATAGTAGTTGAGATATTTTAGGGGTTTTATATTTAAATTTTTTTTTCTCCAATTTAGTATGTTTATTTTGTAATTTAGGGAGGGATTTTTTGAAAGTATTAAGTTATTAAAGTTTTAATATTTTTTAAGTATAAAATTTTTAGTGGCTTCCTTTGCTATAGTGTTTATCAAATAATAGTTAAATAAAAGTTTTTGCAATACAAAAATGTCTGAAGGAACATTCAAAATGTAGTTTCAAATGAGGAAAAATAATTGATTACGGCTTTTTGAGTTTTTTTTTAATTAGAAATATATCAGAATAAATTACAAATTAATTCATTTCTAGATGAAACATAAATAGTGTATTAAAATAATTGACCTCAAAGAAAAGTATTTTTGCATTAATTTTAACTTTTTTTTTCTTTGATTCAAATAGAGTATGCGAACAAAATAAATTATTGTAAACTGTTTCACAAAATTGCATTTTACATATTTACTAACGCGATAATTTTTTTAAAATTTAATTTAAGAAAAGAATTACAAATTTTAACAATGAAATTCTAGCATTCTGACTTAACTTCAGTAATCATCTGAATTCAAGTTCCTTTAATGGAAGCATTTAACGCAACTTGCTATTTCTGGCCAGTACCCTCTCCGGATCATCAAAAATACTATAAGTCCAGCTTAATAAATAAAAGTAATTAAGCAATCTGTTCAGATAATTAAATCTCCGAATTGAATTCCATCTAAACCGCTTGGTGGCGCTGCTACACGTTACTTCACAGGAATAAAATTAAGTTCGGCCAGTTGGAGATTTCTCGTATTGAATTGAATTATGATTTTACCCGCCGTTATCATTCGTACCCCCCGGTAGTCAAGGAATGCCAGTCTTCTTAAACTTTGTGTTCAATCATTATCCACAAATGCCTTTATTTCCACAAGATTTCCTTTATTAACTTATTTAAATATAGTCCAATGTAAAAAGGAATGTGTATGATAAAAGAAAAATAATAATAATAAAACGCATATGAAAGTACAGAAATGGACATATCGTAGTTTCGGTTAAAAAAAAAACCTTCCTTAATTTTCCCCATTTTTTATGAAGACTAAGAAATGCTTTTGCTTATGAAGCTGAAAGTATTTCCTTTTCTATTCCGTATTTGCACTTTATTCACGCTTTCTATTCTGTATTTGCACTTTATTCACGTTTTCTTTTCTTTAGTTTAAGTTACACAAAGTACATTCTATCCTTTTTGGAAACCTATGAATCTCAGAATCTTTGCTTTTACTTACTAACTGATCGACAAATAGGCCTAAAAAAGGCGAAGTAGAATAAAACAAATACTAATGATATCAAAACAAATTTATTTCTTTTTCATATATTATTTTTATTATAAAGTATTATTTTTATTAGTTAATTGTTTATTTAGTGAATAGTGAATAATGTTCTTAATCCTTATTCTGTTTAAATTTAGAATAAAAATTGGAGTTGAGATGAGAAAACATTTCTGTAGAGTTCACTCTAATGTTGTAATGCAAATTCCGCTTTTCTTTTTTTTTTTTTAAATATTATTATCATTATTTTTTTGGTTAACGAAGCACTAAAAGAAGGAAAACTAAGAAAAAACACTTCTATAAAAGTAGATTTAAAAAGCACTGAATAGGAAACAGTCGATTTTATAGTACATTTACATTATATATAAATAGTATATGATAGTATTACTTAATATTAGCTAATTAAGTTTTAAAAAAGTTTCATTAGTCTATAAGTACTAAGGTTTTTCTTAAGCTGTACTTAAACCTCATTATCACTGTTCAGGAAACAGAAATTAACAGTTAACATTATAGAAAAGAGTTTTTCTCACTCTTATTAATTTAATACTGTTTACCAAAATGGTTCATTTGTAGGTTGATATCACTGGAAAATACTAAAATTTAAGAACATCTAAGAAATTTAAATGCTAGTTAAAGTTAAGTAAAAGTTGTATACATTTAAATATATTTTTAATGAATTACAAAACCTTTAAGTTAGATAATATTGATTATTATAAACTATATATTGTATAGCTTATTTTGGTAATTATTCTACAATATTTAAATTATAGAAATACCTCAACAAAAAAATTTTTTTTAACTACCTGAAGTGATATCTTATTTTATTATTACAGTTTTCAAAATATTTTATTTTAGAAAACATCACATACACACAGAAAAAAAGGGAAAAAAAGCTATTGGTACTCATAACAAATATATTGCCTAAAAAAATTACATTTCTTAATAATTAAATTAATTGAAATAAAATTAAACATTTCAATGTTACAAAAAATATATTGCATATATGAAAAATTAGCATTTATATTAATTAAAACCCACAATTAAATGGATTTCGCTACGAAATTACAAGACGTACTATGCTCGATTACAGGACATGCATAGATATAGCCCATTGACAAGGCTATACATATTCAGTAAACTATAGCCCATTTACGGGATATATTCATCTATTAATGACATTCCACTGTAAAGCGAATTTTAATTGATTCCTCTACCTTTTATTTACTTTTGTCACCATGACTACGCAAAGTATATTAAAAATGTTAACTGTTATTCCATGCGATACTCTCAACTCGAGAAGAAGACAGCTGATGCGCAACCACCTGACCTATAACCTCAGCACCAGCTGAATGTTTATAAAATAGATGGCGTGTTAACGCTACAACTATTATGGCTTGTTTTATTGTAGGCTTCTTTTAGTTATGAAAGGAAAATTAATAACTTATTTTATCTCTTTTTCTAAGTATTAATTGCATATTTCATTAATTTAAAGGAATTTATTAGTCACTAAGTTATCGCAAGATACCCACGATGACGTCGCTTGTAGGTGTCCAATCATAAGACTTCAAAGAACTGATCAACATAAGATTATTTTCATGTTTCACACGTTGGTTTACCTTTTTTATTTAACTTTATGATTTTTAGTTTTACATATTTTTGGGGTACTTTTGCAAGACATATTAAAAGACTGATCATAATATGATTTTAACGTTTTATGTAATTTTTGCTATTTGGCTACAAATTGTGTATTCAAATATCGACCACCGCAATGTTATTTTTGTGTTTTCATTTATGACTGTTGTTACATGTAAGACATATTGGAAGACCAGTATTCACAAGAAAATTTAATTTTTGCAATGTCTTTTTTTTATTTCTAGAATGATTAAAGTTTGAAGAAAAAAACTTAAAAGAGTTTTACTTTATTTATAATCTTTATAAAAATTTAATTAAATGTTGAAATTATTTTGGAGTTAATATTATGGTTTTTTTAAATTTCATAAAAAGCTCTTAGTCAATATTTTTTTATTAGCCCAAATAAAGCGGGTGGTGTAATTTTCATTAAAACATTAGGTCAGTATTTCCCAAAGTGTGGTACGCGTACCCCCAGGTGTACGGGAACAGTTTAGCGGGGGTACACGTTCTTATACGAAAAAACTTGCAACAAACGAAAATTTAAATTTTTTTTTTTAGAAAACAAAGCTAGCCATGAAAATTTACGACTACGACCATTGGCTTTTTTTTTTTTGCAGAGTTAACAATTAATAATTAGTGGTGTCAACAGCCAGTTGTGATTTTTAACTTTTGTGCAATTATTTTATAGTAAAGGTTTGCAATAAATTCTACTTATTTTGATTATTTTAATAAAATATAATTTTTATCTTTCTTGAAAAATAAGCATGAGGAATGTACTTTAACATCATTCTGGCTGCAAATATAAAATATGCATCCAGTCTTAACAGAAAAAGTTGTGAAATATATTTTGCCTTTTCCAACTTCATATTTATGTCATTTTTTCATCATTTGTGGACATTAAGTCGAAAAAAAGAAATAGATTATTGGACGTGGAATCGCTTCTCAGACTAAAATTGACCACAAGAGAACAGAATTATAATGAACTGTTATGACAGCAAAAAAAATATCATCTTTCTCACTGATGCAAATAAACTGATTAACAAAACTTAATACCAAATATGAAAAATAAATATGTTTTTTAAAAAAATTCTTTCATGTTTTTAAAAATATGTCTATCTGCATAATTTTTTTTATTAGAGGTACACAGAGTTTTGAAAAATGTAGAAAGGGTACACAAAAGTCATAAGTTTGGGAAACACTGCATTAGGTCATAAACGCTGTCAGAAACTGTACAGTACGCCATTTTCCTACCTAGCATAGAGGGCGCAGGTTGGAAACGAACAAACCTTAATTCATAAGTCTTTAATAACTGTTACAAAAGCAGTCTTATATGATTCAGAGAGTATATAAAATTGTTTTGTAAACTGTTTCCGCAAACAAACGGCCAGTGACATAAAAACATCCCAATGTCCATTTTTGTTTTATATTTTTTCCATGAAATTATTGAGGGCTTTCCTAATTCA